TCTGCATTCATTCATCGGCCGAATCATTCACCTTCGCCGAAGGCCGAGCATATTGCCAACAATTCCTTGCAGCCGATATCCTCACCCTACCTACTGACTTGTCCTTTACTGCCATGTTAGTGGAGGCTTTTGAAATGTTTTTTTCCGACGCCTAGGCCCAAAGTGGGGGAGTTTTGGATTGGATTGTGGCAAAATGCATCAGGGATATGGCAGTGGAGCGATGGGTCTCCAGCAGTTCTGGACCGATGGGAAGATGGCTACCCCTCAGACGATGGTGGTCAATGCGCCGTGATAACAGCATCCAGCTGGGATGATCTTGAGAAGACTTACTCTGCATCCTATGTCTGCAAGAAACCGCTCTGTAAGAATAGCACACAAAGTGCTTTTGAGCCCCCTTACACCTTATAATGCAGAATATGCAATATACGTTTCTTCTGAAATGTTGATACGCGTTTCTGAATATTGTTAAATTTATGAGCAGGTATTTACTCATCTCAGAACGTATGCGGTAAAGGAAAGAGCATACATCATGATTCCACTTTACACTTCACGTTTCCGCATTAGGAGGGAAAACTTTGTTGCCCAGGTGCACCCCTCAAAGCCTGGAACACAATATTCTGCGTTTCTATTAAGCATTCAATACTTTTCGCTTTTCTACATCCCTCCGAATTCTGTCAGCCTCCTGAAATCTGCACTTCGTGGAGTGTAGCCGTTATGGTCGATGCCAGTATTCAGTTTGTCGTTTAACTCATAGTGAGGTGGTAAAATACCTCGGTGGTGCACGCTGATTTTGATATGTTCTGTGAGACCTTTACGAATGTCTGCCTGCATCCAACGGGGTTGGGTCAGGTGGATGAAAGGATCAGAAGTGGATTGGGAGGCAGGTGGAAATCCCTCCAGCAGGTGGGTTTCTGGCTGCTTCAAGCCACAGGGATATCCAACCAGCTCGAAATTCACCCGGGGAAAATGGACTTCTTGTAAGAGGAAATCGGACATCTTTTGATATCTTCGGGAAGTAGGGAAATGTTAGCTGGTGATTGTTCCCAATTCCTTCTCTTTACTATATTATTTGAATATAAGTCACAGGGTGCTCCTATTAAAATAACTATACGGTTTTCAACGTGATAAACATAAACGGATATAAAAACTGAGAATCCCTTCCAATTTGAATTCATTGATGGCCACGGGCAACGATTACGACGATGTGTGACTGTGGAAGGCAAAGGGGTTGTTTGGAATGTGCTCATCAGGATGCAATGTCCTCCTGGCACAGGACTGATATGTCAACTGGAATGAATTTCATAATGTAGTACCTCCCTGTTTTAATGGAATAAAATTCATCCGATGCGCTTCGGCTGATTCATTTCAGAATCTTGCAACGATCTCCAAAATGAGTCAAATTGTAGTTCTCCACGTATTTTGTGAGTGGCTGATTTCCGAAGAGTAGAGTCTTGAGGCATTCATTTATGGAAATTTTTCTGTTCAGCAAATGTTCACGCAAAGATTGACCTTCATCGGACGGATTTAAATCTCCCACGTGAGCGCAGACAGTCAGACATTTTCTACGAAACTCGTAAGCACAGCCAACTGACCAATTATTCACTTCATGTCAGAGCATTTTCCCAAAAAGTTGCGATACAGCATTTGTACCTTTAGGCCGTGGATAAATACATTCTGTGGCATAGCAGATGCGACATTCTGCCGATAAAGTTTAAGTAACTGCCGATATTTAGGACGGGACATTTTAAACGTCGACCCTCGAGTTAGCTTGCCTTGCGATCACGTGATGGACCCTCACGAAACCTCTACCTATATCCTTCTGAGCTGAACGGGAAGGTGGACACGAGATGGATTTCTCAACAAGCAGATGCTTCGCTTGGAAATTCTTAGTCATTCGTCTACGTGTACCTCGAACCAGTTGCATTTTTCTTCCTGGGTGGCTTTATTTAAAACAAGATGGTCGTCTGTCTAGCAGGTGGATTCATGCCTAAAGGGACACCCAATTGGTTCTAAATTCAAATGGGCGTGTGGCCGATTTGTGAAGATCTTTTTTTTCAACAAATAATTATGACCATTTTGGAAGATTCGAAGGTTACTAAGAGACATCGTAACATCGAAGGTTACTAATAATTAAATCCTGTCGATGAAGTTCATTGCTGGATAATACTTCAATGATACATTTAATTACTTTTACAATCATCGCGGTGATTTCTTCATGAGAGGAATGCGAAGGTAATTTTTTCAGTCTCTGCGATATATTATGATCCCTTGTGAGCTTCAACAAAGGTTCTTCATATACATTCCGCATATTTCATGGAAGCCTCTCTTTACCTCCATGCCAAACGTGATGCTCATGGGGAAGAAATTGGAGGCTGGGTTCGGGTTGCCTGCTTCCCTTTGGGTCATACGTCATGTAGGCTAGTCTAAACTCCTTTAGCGATTAAAGCAAAAACTGTTATTTGCGGCTTCTTTCAGTGGAAATACACCTTAAGCTATATAAACATTTTCGCAACTCACTGAAATAGCAAAACAGGAATTTCTTCGATTGAATTAGAAAATCTCGTGCACGGTGCCAAGTAGCATTTCCATTTCTACGAGTAACAATTTACGGGAGATTTTTTCTGATGCATCCATTGAAATCCTCCGATGAAACTGAGGAAAACCAGCAAGAGGTGACGCCGTAGGTTAAAAGGGATTCACTTATGGAGCCTCTAGGCCAGGAGTATGCAACTGTGTACCCCATGGAAATATCCTCCTCTTCAAGCAGACCATAGAGTGCAAAAGAAAAGGGCTTCTGTCGTTTGCCCTGAGGGCATGATATGCGCCGAGTGGCTGACATCTTCCCCACCCGGGGAAATTCCAGAGCCCAAAAATAGCCTTTGGCATTGAGAAGCTTCTTCCTCGGGACATTCCGTATATATAATATCCGTGTGTCATTCCGGGAAACTCTTCCTAGACCGGCAACGGATCTTAATAATTGAGGTGTCAATCGTAAGCTGTTTTCGATCATGTACAAGGTTGGACTGAAACTGCATGGGAAGTTAGTATTGCGAAAGGAATGCATACCCTGTTGTTTACTTTGCATCTGCATGTCGGGAGAACAGTTACAGCAAAAGAAAATGAGGATGATTTAAGATTTGAATAGGGCGATCGTCGATCGTTGGGAAGCCCTGTCTCTCCGCTCCTTAGGGAATCCAATTTGAGAATGGTGCGCACGATTTCCAGACCCTGCAGAACAGCAAGATGGTCATATACTCCTCGCAAAAATAAACGCGAATAAGGAGTTCGGCGATCGTGAGGTAATTAGGTGCACTAGTTCCTTCAAGTATACCATGAATTCGATTATATTTTCAAAAATGTGGAATGAATGTTCGCGGAGAAAAATTGCCAAATTCTCCAATTTTCATCATGCCTATGAGGTGGAAATTTTATTGCGGAACCCTAAGGGTGTGTTGAAAAAATCGAGCAAAGTTTCCAATCGAGCAAAGCCTCAAGGTCATGGGGTAATGCAACGAGGGGAAAACCTTCGGAATGCCCAAGGAACGGGGGAAGAGGCCAGTTTTTCATTTTTTGAAAGTCTGCGGTCGTGAGGCATTGCCGAAGCGAAATTTCCAATCGCAGTTTTAATAAGTGGTTGGAGCGATCGGTCGATATGGAATAATTGAGATGCCTGCATCAGAACCAGCGGAAATTGCAATGTTTCGGGGCTTGCTCTCGGTGATCCGCGAGGTATTGGCGCATCATCATCGCAGAAGAGCTGCAAGTATCCTACTAATAAAGACGATCGTTACAATTAAAATGGAAAATATCGTCACTCAATTTATACGCGAAAACCCATTCATCTTGAAGACGTCGCAAAAGATTTGTTTCATTGGTACTTGAGGATGAGACGACTTCTTCGACGGGACACCCCGCCCGATTTTCAGCTTTTGCCAAATAGCATCAAACAAAGGCAGCGTATACCCTGAAGAGTATACGCTGTTTCTGACACTTTTTTAGAATATGGCCATATTGAGTTCCTCAAATTGAAAGTGGCTATGCCGCATTGCAAATGGCAAACATTGCAGCAAGTAGGATCCAAAGCGCAAATGATTTGCTCTCGGATGCATTCTTCACTCTTGGTTTTGCTGATTCCTTTTCAAATGTTCATTCATTTCTTGACATTTCATTCATTCCCATAACATTTTCTTGGCCAAATTAATGGTCTCATGCTTATAATTAAGTTGATGCCTGTTCGTTGCCATCGTTATGATGATGAACGACACAAACATGAGTGGAAAAAACTGACCATTCTATATAATATTAATAGTTTCTTGAGTACTCTGTGACATGAAAAACATTCTCTGTAACGTGAGTCACGAATACTTTTTTTCCCTTTTTTTCGCAATCAGAAGAACCTTAAAAAAAGTTTGAGTATTATATCCGACAAGTGCTGAATGCCTGCAATCATTATGCCTCAAGGCACGACCTGAAAATGAAAATTCAGAAGGCGGGGTGGAATTAACTTCCAAAAATGTTGTACTTTTGTAACATGAGTCACGAAAGAATGAGACATATTCCAAAATGTTGAAAGGCGTTACGGGTGAAGCTGACAAGCGGACGTTTACAGAAGACATCAGGAAATTATATTTCGGCATTCCCGCGTCTTTCGACGATGAGGACGACAATGATCACTGAAATCTTTTCGAATATTTTCCGGTCATTTCAGAATCCATGCGGACATGGAAAGAGTATACATGATGGTTTCGCTACGCGATTCCTGTTTCCGTATCAGGGGGAAAAACTCGCTTTCCTCAACTCCTGAAGATTCGGAACACCATCTTCTGCTCAATGGCCCCAATGCGTTTACTTCGCATTTGCATATGTCTTCGCTCTTTCGCATTTCAAACCGACTTGGGCATGATAGGACCCTCGGATGCTGCAGAGAGACCCAAGCTTCCCCGATGTGAAATTCCACGATGAAACTGACAGAAACCGACACGAATGCACATATGTTAAATATGGCGTTCTTATGGTGCCTTCATGCGAGTATACAAACATTTGTTTTTACTCCATCCGTTCGAGTTATTTCTCCCTCTCTCACCCACCCTCTTAGCGCAACCGTTAAGGTCGATGCCGTACTGTATAATGTACTATACTGAAAATATAGATAATTTCCTTTTGATTAGTCACAGTGCTGATAGCTTCCGTTATCCATTATTCTTATTTTTCCACTCGGAAAAAATCTGGCCATAATTGAGGAATTATATTCATCAACTCCCTCCCCAGGATCTGCAATACCATATTACAGGGGGGATTTTTTGCTTAAAACTACGCCACTTGCGGAATAACGTATCTTGGTTCTCATAAGAACTTCCAGGTGCGACAGTTCCACGCTCCATTCCCCTGTCTCTTCCCTCCCTGTGCCTTTAGTTTGGGCTTACCGTCCATATTCGGAGAACGATATTTCCAGTCAATTTTTCTTTCATGAGCATTCCTCTAATCCCTACTCTTTTTGCCAATGTTGAACTCTGGTTCCTCTCTCTCCGTTGGTTTAATGTTCGCAGTGAAACCAATTGCATCCTGTTTCTTCGTTACCCCAACAGAATTCTTCCTGAGGTGCAGAATATGAAGATGGTGATCGGTCTGCTGGCGTTCCAGGCCCTGTTTTGTGGTTGCCTCATTAGCGCTTCGACATCCCAAGACTGCGGTGGGGTGCTCACTGAACCGCATGGGGAAATCCAGTCTCCTGGCTATCCCGATTCTTATCCTCCCAATATCCACTGTCGATGGGTCGTTCAGGTGAGTCTATCACATTTTGCATTTCGTTCCGTAACGAAGGAAACGAAGGTTTTTTTATGTGAATTTTCATTTTACCACGATACATATGTCATCACTCTTTATGCGATTACAGTATTCGTACCGTCGTTGGTTAGGTAAATGTGGTCAGTTCAACGCCACGAGAGAGATACGACGGGGAGAATGAAAGATGAGGTGGAAAAAGGGAGTTAAATGCGATTCACAATGGCTAAAGCAAATACGGGAAATAAATAATAATAATATACATACTTTTCACAAGCAGCTCTTGATCTTGTTTTATTGGGTCTAATCTAATAATTTCTATTTTTTTGTAATGCATCACACCATCCGCTGCATTTGCTTGTTGCTCTAATTGAGATTTTTTTAATGTTCATGTTCCCTAAATGTTTTTTCAGGTCAGTATAGAGGGTTAAAAAATGTACATATTTTTCTTTCGAGCATCCTGCATACAACCAATTAAAAAATGTGAAATAAAGGATCGACATAGGAAGAGCCTCTAGGTATTGCAAGAAGAACAAGGTGTTTCTCTACCTTTTTCTAATTGCCATGCACAATTTAGGGGTTGAATACATTTGTCAGTATAGCGCCAGTGATCTGTGCTTGACCATCAGTGAAAATTATACATTTAATCTGACTTCGATCGAAATAGAATGCAGCAAAATTGCAGACCTCAACAGCAAAATAGGACTGAGATGCGTAATTATGTGTGCATAACGCCTCAAATTCACTGAGGCGTTATGAATGCACGGACGTACTTCACTCCAGACTTGAAACAATGTCATTATTTTATTCTTCAGTTTTCGTGCTGAATTGCAATTTTTCCACTTGCTCTTCTCCCTCTACTCCTATTTCAACCCAAATCTTTATCGAATTCTGAAATGCTGACACAGAAACCACTCGCACATATGTGATGCTGAAATATCCATCTATTAATTGCTTAACGTGGCATTGCATGCGTCTGAAGAGAGGGCTGGTAGTATTCCAGCACATCATACCCTTTCTTTCTTATAATATTGATCACTTGTCTAACATATCGTTCTTCACCGTATAAAGGAATCAAAATTTCTCCCAGAAAATTCATTTTTATTCGTATTAAATTCATATATGCTGTAAAGGTCCGGTGATTAGTTCCATAAGGAAGCGTCACCGGAAACAAATTCATGAGCTCTTTAATTGACACGTTTCTTTCTTATATAATTACACTAAATTGTACTCTTTCCCTCGAAACTAAATCAATTTAATTCATTATTCCCTCAGGTTCCATCAGCTGGCAAAATTATCTTGACATTCAATGATATTGAACTGGGCAATCATCAAAATTGCGTATCCGGAGACCATTTAACTATATCCGATCCCGAGGGGGATTCCAAAATAACTTGCGACCCAGATGTCCCCAATGCTATCGAGTCGATTGGGAACACCCTCTACATCGACTTCACATCAGATGCCGATGGGGAAAGCGGATTCCGGTTCAGACTGACCTACGTCGCGCAAGCCGCATGCGAAGAAGGATGGCAACAATTCGGTTCTCACTGTTATTTCTTCTCGGACGAAGTAATGCATTTCGACAACGCCCAAGCAGACTGCGAGGCCAGGGATGCTCAGCTGGCAAGTATTCACTCAAAGGAAGAGCAGATGTTCGTACAGGAGCGAGTGAAGACTTCGCCTTGTTGGATCGGAGCTACGAACCCGGGATATTTGACTGAGGATCCCTTCAACTTTGAATTCATTGACGGAACGGGGAACGATTATCACAATATCTGGCAGTGGGATGGCTATCATCCTTTCAACTGCGTTGCAGGATGTGGGATCCTCTTGGTCCCAGATCGGTGGGCGAACAGGGACTGCTTGGAAATCAGGCAGGTGATTTGCGACAGCATGATGTCTCACGGCCAGGACTGGAGGTGTTGGACCGATCCCATGCCTGACTTATGCTTCCACGTCTCGACCGAATTCTTCACCTTCGATGAAGCCAGAGCTTATTGTTTGCAATTTCCCAGAGCCGATATTCTCGCCATCCGAAACGACGAATTTAAGCACATGAGCCTGGCGAGGACCTTTGAGGTTGCTTTTCAGATCCCACGGGCAATAAACGGGGAGTTTTGGATCGGATTAATACAAGATGCATCAGGGGTCTGGCAGTGGGTGGACGGGTCTCCAATAGATGTGGACCGATGGGAAGAGGGGAATCCCACTGAAGCAGGAGGGGAATGTGGTGTAATAACATCCAGTTGGGATGACCTGGAAAGGGAGTATTCTGCATCTTACGTCTGCAAGAAGTCGTCCTGAAGGCGCTCCCCAAATAAATGCTTCTGAGTTGTATTTATTCCTCACATGTTGTTGAGAATGTAAATATATGTGTTCTCAAAAAGTTCTCATTTCAAATAGAAACCGGAAAGCTGAGTGGAAAACTGGAAGGATTCAGCATGAAGTTCAGAAGACAGTCAAGAAAATTCTATTTTTTGGATGATTGCCTTTTTTTGTGCTTTTATTTGTCGAAAGAGAAGAAAGAGATGGTTTAGCAGGATTCTTGCATGCGATGCATAGATTCCCATGCTCGATGGCAGCCAACTGCTAATTGGGACTTCTCCAAAGATCAACATCTCTCATGACAGGATAATTGGTAGACATTTCCCGGCAGGTTACGAGATCGCATGATCCAAATGAGACAGACAGTTGTGACGATCTCAACCCTCGTAGGTATTGGGGCGTTCGATATTCACGTATGAGCAGCTTTTGGGCGCTCAGTCAAGGTACCATTTAATCACCGAACCATTACGTTTTTGAGGTACATTTGTTCATTATTTAAGAGACTTTTTTTTAACCATATTTGTGTTCCCATCATTTAGTGACATGATTCGCCCTACCAAAACCAGATGACGCTACACAATCGGCACAACAACGGTGTGTCAACGTCGAGAAAAGGCTGATGGCAATGTCGCCTAAATGTTGAGAAAAGGTTGATTTTTCAACTCAACATGTTGCCACGATGTTGCCACGATGTTCAAATGAAACACAGTTCAACGTTGAAGAGGTTTTGCTGTGTAACGTTGCGTCAATGTTGACTTGTCAACGTACGGGCATTACATAACCTCCTCCCTATCCATAGTCTGAAAGAGGGTTAATTAGCCGATGAGATGGAATGGAGATTCGCTAATCCCACGGAACATATCCAAGTGGTATGAATGTACGTTGTTGCTATGCGTCCTCCTGTCTGTCTGCGCGTTGGAGGCCTGCACGGGTTCACTTTTCCGAGTTGAAACTCGTGGAATCACTTGGAATCGTGGCCCGCACCCGACCCGGAACGCAATTGTCGACCGAGATTTGCTACTCCAAGCTGTGGATCGTGTTGTGCTGATATTGGCGGTCCGCATCCCGCTTAGGCCTCTAAGCTTGAGAATGCCAGGTCTCTGATGACGCATTTGCCCCAAGGGTGGGGGGGGGGGGGGAAGGGACCCTCGCAGATCTACACAGAANGAACGATTATCACAATATCTGGCAGTGGGATGGCTATCATCCTTTCAACTGCGTTGCAGGATGTGGGATCCTCTTGGTCCCAGATCGGTGGGCGAACAGGGACTGCTTGGAAATCAGGCAGGTGATTTGCGACAGCATGATGTCTCACGGCCAGGACTGGAGGTGTTGGACCGATCCCATGCCTGACTTATGCTTCCACGTCTCGACCGAATTCTTCACCTTCGATGAAGCCAGAGCTTATTGTTTGCAATTTCCCAGAGCCGATATTCTCGCCATCCGAAACGACGAATTTAAGCACATGAGCCTGGCGAGGACCTTTGAGGTTGCTTTTCAGATCCCACGGGCAATAAACGGGGAGTTTTGGATCGGATTAATACAAGATGCATCAGGGGTCTGGCAGTGGGTGGACGGGTCTCCAATAGATGTGGACCGATGGGAAGAGGGGAATCCCACTGAAGCAGGAGGGGAATGTGGTGTAATAACATCCAGTTGGGATGACCTGGAAAGGGAGTATTCTGCATCTTACGTCTGCAAGAAGTCGTCCTGAAGGCGCTCCCCAAATAAATGCTTCTGAGTTGTATTTATTCCTCACATGTTGTTGAGAATGTAAATATATGTGTTCTCAAAAAGTTCTCATTTCAAATAGAAACCGGAAAGCTGAGTGGAAAACTGGAAGGATTCAGCATGAAGTTCAGAAGACAGTCAAGAAAATTCTATTTTTTGGATGATTGCCTTTTTTTGTGCTTTTATTTGTCGAAAGAGAAGAAAGAGATGGTTTAGCAGGATTCTTGCATGCGATGCATAGATTCCCATGCTCGATGGCAGCCAACTGCTAATTGGGACTTCTCCAAAGATCAACATCTCTCATGACAGGATAATTGGTAGACATTTCCCGGCAGGTTACGAGATCGCATGATCCAAATGAGACAGACAGTTGTGACGATCTCAACCCTCGTAGGTATTGGGGCGTTCGATATTCACGTATGAGCAGCTTTTGGGCGCTCAGTCAAGGTACCATTTAATCACCGAACCATTACGTTTTTGAGGTACATTTGTTCATTATTTAAGAGACTTTTTTTTAACCATATTTGTGTTCCCATCATTTAGTGACATGATTCGCCCTACCAAAACCAGATGACGCTACACAATCGGCACAACAACGGTGTGTCAACGTCGAGAAAAGGCTGATGGCAATGTCGCCTAAATGTTGAGAAAAGGTTGATTTTTCAACTCAACATGTTGCCACGATGTTGCCACGATGTTCAAATGAAACACAGTTCAACGTTGAAGAGGTTTTGCTGTGTAACGTTGCGTCAATGTTGACTTGTCAACGTACGGGCATTACATAACCTCCTCCCTATCCATAGTCTGAAAGAGGGTTAATTAGCCGATGAGATGGAATGGAGATTCGCTAATCCCACGGAACATATCCAAGTGGTATGAATGTACGTTGTTGCTATGCGTCCTCCTGTCTGTCTGCGCGTTGGAGGCCTGCACGGGTTCACTTTTCCGAGTTGAAACTCGTGGAATCACTTGGAATCGTGGCCCGCACCCGACCCGGAACGCAATTGTCGACCGAGATTTGCTACTCCAAGCTGTGGATCGTGTTGTGCTGATATTGGCGGTCCGCATCCCGCTTAGGCCTCTAAGCTTGAGAATGCCAGGTCTCTGATGACGCATTTGCCCCAAGGGTGGGGGGGGGGGGTGAAGGGACCCTCGCAGATCTACACAGAAACGCATTTTCGGGTGTAACGGTTCAGAATGAAGGGCATTCTGTGAAAGCAGACAGGGTGGCGAAGCGTGTCTTTGGCATGAGAAACTGTGCACGACAGTTAAATCGGGAAATCTGAAACTCATGAAAACTTACCTATACGCCGGAATTACCTCTTTATTAGGAATGGGTGGTGTGAAGTCAATATTCGGCCCTCTCTCATCTAATATATATAGACGATCGTGACTGACTGACTGACTGACTGACTGACGCTAAGCCAGGAGGGGATGAACCATGAAAGCTGAATACTCTNTATTTTTTGTCCTGGTGTATTTATTGAGCTAGTGTGTAAAGATGAAACTTGGTACATAATTACCTACCGGGATGCTGCGTGCAGAAAAATTCAGACTTTGGAATGAAATGCCCTGGGGGCATGCATTTCAAGGGGAGATGTTTTCTCATAATTGTCGTGGTGAATTGGACAGAAATGGAAAGGTGAAACTTGGCACACGTATAATTGATTTGGAATTATTGAGTTGAGAGAGTATTCAGCTTTCATGGTTCATCCCCTCCTGGCTTAGCTTTTAGATGCGTCGGCTTTTCCAAACATGATTTTTCACCAGCGAAAAAGGCAAACGTATAATATTGAAACTTTGTGGGCATGCAGTTCACTGAGGTTTGATTTCGGTAAAAATGGTAATTTTCGGTTAAAACGCCCGAGGGGCACATAATTAGCAAATTTTCCTGAATTTTCTCATCCAGCAAAACGGAGGGTGCTGGAAAGTTTAAACTTGACAAAGAAGTACATGATGAATAGATGAGTAAAGAAACAATTCCACTTTCATATTATATATAGATGATCGTGAGTAGCTGACTGACATAAGAACCTATTCACATGATAAGTTCAGGAAAAATTCCACTTTGGTGATACTCGCCATTGGGGCACACCTTTTCAAGGAACATATTTTCAAATAGTTCTCTTTGCTTCAATCAAACGAAGACCCAGGGAAAGATATAACATGGCAAGAATGTGACTGGTGAAGCACTCAGCTCAAATAACAAGGGTCAAATTTGCAAAATATTATTGGGGACTTTTTCGGGGATGAAACGTTTTCAAAGAATTTTAAATATCCTAGCAAATTGGGCAGACATAGAAAAATTGTAGCTGGCGCACGCATAACGGACATGATGTTTATGTAAGGAATAATTAACTTTTGTTGAGCCTCTCCCAGAGGACAGCTTTTGGGCTTTTCCAAATATATTTTTTACCGCCAGCAAATAGGGGAAACGTATATGGTTAAAACCATGTGGCATGGAGTTCCCTGAGTCTATATTTCAGAAAAACAAAAAAAACAATTGTTAAAAAAAATCAGGACATTTTTTAAAGTCCCATTTTCGTGAATTCTTTTTGGATCCAACGAAACAGAAACAGGAAATTTAAAACTCCCTCAGAAGTACCGGTTTGATTGCTGAGTACAGGAAAAATCACACTTTTGAAATATGCACCCTCAGCGTAGATTATAGTAGGGAAGTATTTGAAAATGTATTCTCCACCCTTACAAAAAAGGTACTCATGAGAATGTCATCGAGAGATGCCATAGTACGCCATTGTTTCGGTGGTGTAGTGGTAGCACATCTGATCGGTAATTAGGAGACCCTGGGTTCAGTTCCCGGCCATTCCAGGCCTTTTTATTGGCATCTCTTGCACTTCCATGTCCCGTTGCTTGAATAAAACGGAGTGACATGGAAAGCTGAAACGTGGCATGGACGTGCCTCCCGAGACGATGAATTCAGGAAAAATGTAAACTTTTAGGTCCATGCCCTTGGGGCATATTATGAGGAGCCGACGTTTTCAAGTATTTTTTGTCCTCGCGTATTGAGCTAGTGTGGAAAGATGAAACTTGATACATAACTACCTATTGGGATGCTGCAGAAAACTTCAGACTTTGGAAGTAAATGCCATGGGGGCACAAATTTCAAAGGAGATATTTTCAACTAACTTTTTTGCATTAACCTGATGAACATGGAAAATTGATACTTTCATGAATGTTACTACTGACACAAAGAGTTAAATGAAAATGTTATGTCTCGATACATCTCATGGGGAAATTTTTTCGAGAGGTGATGTTTTAAAAGAAAATTGTTTGGGCGAATTGGACAGAAATGGAACGGTGAAACTAGGCACAGGTATAAGTGACATGATATTACTGACCTGAGGGAGTATTCAGCTTTAATGTGCATCCCCTCCGGGCATAGGTTTTGAGTGGGTCGCTTTTCCAAATACATATTTTTTCCGCCAGCAAAAAGGGGAAGCGTAAAACATAGAATTATAGAGGTAAAGATTTTGATAAAAATCAAGACTTTCAACCCCATATGTCATGTATTCAATATTTCAATGGGGAAGTACTTTAAATACGTGTTTCTCATTTCGCAAAAAATGTATGAATGGATCACTATCCAAGGTAATAGAGCGCCGAAGGCGCGACCATAGCGAGTTTGTTTGCCCGAAGGGCAAACAAACTCGCTAGTCCTCATAAATATACGTAATATATATCAGGTTAATCTGTTCATGTCAGGGTGTAATTCCGGGAAACTCCTCCTGGAGGGATGAACGGATTTTCTTGAGAGAAATGTCAATGGTAAGCTTATGACCAAGAAACAATTCTTCATAGATCAAAAGTCCAAAGAAATCTTTCCATTTTCATGTCATAAGACCAGATTTCGGCGTTAAAAATAGCATTGTCCTGAACGCCTTCCCGGTCTGTGTGTTCACAGCATCATGGCCCGCACTCGACAGGAAAGTCGATTGCCAACCTCGCTACACGCTCGATGCACGGGTCAGATCGGTCCCATCGAGCCAATCCGCATCTCGGCCGAACTCAAAATCTTCCCTTATTCAACCTGGGCTTTCCAAATTAGAACTGCTTCTAATTTTAAGGCTAAGGCTCGCTGAATATTTGCGTACAGGCGATTAGGGTTTCCCTGATGACAGATTGCATCTCCTATCATTGATCGAAACCATGCGACTGTTTGAAATTCGAGAGCTGTTTCTCTTTAGAATGTTTAGATTTAACTCACTAGGTATTGTTACCTAAGGGAACTTGAGAGCCTTTTATGAAGGGAACCATTTCCCCATTTGATTCCTGGGAATTCCAAATTCATTCTGTGTGTCATTTGAATACTGTAGGAGTCAATCAAAAGCTTATGACCCAAAGGCGATACTTATTGGGTCAACAGTTCCAAAGTCCTACAATTCTGACGTCATAGGGCCTAATTTCGGCGATAAGAATGGCTTCCGAGCTGTATGCTCACAACCGACAATGAGAGTATGAGGCATTGTCGGCTACGGAAATTGACGCTATGGTAACTACTGCCAATGATCGTTATGTCATAGCGTTACCAGTCCCGTTGCCGGTTTACGACACTACTTCGCTTCAATCGATAGCATTGAGTCAGTGCTCCATTTGATTAATTTGAATTTTGGTGTTGCTCTCAAAATACCACGAAGAAGGTGACTGAAAAAGCTGAAACTATTATGCGGCGGGAACTACTGAACGTAGGAGGAAGAGAGGCATTATTGTGTCACAGTCAATGGATGAAAGATCATAACGGAGTGCATAACATACTGCTTGGCTTTCTGCTTCCAAAAACAAAGAAATCGACGAGAAGAGAGCAGAAAGGCATGCATGATATACATTGATTCGACTTATTTCAGCCCATGCTTGCATCGGATTTTATACTAGCCCTATTAAGAAGAACTCGAGTGAAGGCATGTGCCATGTGGAGATTGAGAAAAGTTGAGCGTCTCTTCGGACACACTGGCCAGAAGTACTTTGAGTACTCTTTCTGCCGGATTACCTCCTTAAACAGGTCTATCTAGAAATTCATATGTCTTCTCTTATGTTATAAATGGGCAAAGATCGTGTACTGCATGAAAAATACAGGGTACTGTTTATTTCAGGGCATCAAGTTAAGAATCGCCGAATCGGCGCTTAGGCGCCATATCGCGTCGATTCGTGGAACCTATTTTCTGTTGAAAGGATGTGGATAACTCCACGTAGAAACAACATTGAGAATATAATGAAAAGCGAATATGCTCCTAATAGCTCCTGAGTGACTTTTCTAATTCACGAGGAGCCACCAAATGCTGAGAATACGATTAATTCCGATTAGCTAGCATTCCATCGATGTTGATTTTCCATCGAATTTTCCTTCAACCAAATCTCAGCGTTTCAACCTTTTCTCAACGTTGTCGTGTCGAATGGATAGAGTAGGCGCAATGGCGATTCAATTCTTAATACATCTGGATTCATTCCCCAATTCTTAACCACACGTTGTCACATCTTTCTCCACACACACCACAAGAAAATACAATTGAATTATTCAACAAATTCGTCTAGAGAGCTAACCTTATGCAAGGAGTTTCCAGAAAAATCTAGTTCAGAGGATTGAGAAAGAATTGTTCAATTTCCACGCTAACTCCATGGGAGTTTACATGAACGTTGATAGCGCGTGTGATCTCTTCAAAATGTTGTCTTGGTGCGGGGCATGTCTGACCTGATCCCGGGCCTGGTCCGGAAGTAGTGTCAGGAGGAGAATGCAGGGACGTAACCAGAAATCTCTTTCGGGGGGTGTCTTTGTGACGATCTTTCAGGCTCGTGAGATGACGAAGTGGCTGAGGAAGGTGAGTGGTTGGTCGGAATGGGGAAAACTTCCAAAACCCTTTTGAGACTTCAATCCAACCTACCTCATAGTTCTAAGTAGCTCCTTCTCTTCCAAAATTTTCAATTTCTTTTCCATGAAAAGAGATGTGGGTCAAGGACTGACCTTGAATTTTTCATAATTTAGTCAGTGAAAGCTACTCCTGAATCATGGTTTGCTACTGGAACTCAAAAAAACTGGTAGAGCAATGGAAACAAAATGGGGGGGGGGGGGACTCTATTGGAGTGATTGAATTCAGAAAATGAAATAGGAGTGCAAGTTGAAACTACAGTTGTACCATATATGTGAAACTTGTCACACCCCCAACCCCCTCCCCGATACTCCTTGTTTCGTGATATCTTGCTTCATTTCAGTGGATGCCCAGACACCCAAGACACACCCCCTTGACTACGTTCCTGGGAGAATGGTTTCCTTGGGTATCTGGGCGTTCGACCTCCACTTCTCATACTATGCCACTATGTTCGCACCTTCTTGAAAAATCAATATTTGCGCAATCATTTCAATAAACGATCATTTCAATGAAATGATGGAACCATATTGAAATCGGCTTGTTTTGGCTCATATCAATATGTCATTACTTTAGTTTTAAAAATCATGTCATTTCCTAAAAATTAAATATTATAAATGAATTTTCAAACACCCAGAGGAATGTGGTACAACAATCATCAACCGTATTAATGAACCCCATATGACACGACTGGTTGTGGACAGCAGGATGCTGCAACTCGATTCCCAATCAACTTGTGATTGGCGTTGGGCGATGTTTAGGTTTTCATTGACGGAATTGGCATGCTGACGGATGAAAGCACGTATTTGCCGGCACAAAATCTTCCCTGAACCCCTTACCATCTGCTAGAGGCTATCGAGGAAAAGTAAATTCTCTAAGAGCTCTCTGTACCACATGTTCCTGCAGGAAATGAGGCCCCTAAGCCGCATAAATTGCGTTCTACTAGGTGAAAGCTTGAGTATGTTTTAACATAGATGACACCATCAAATGAATCCTATACAACCTTTGCGACCGTATGTGAAATGGGCGATATGAATGATCATACCTGAAACAAGAGTTTGGATTGACAAGATGGTGCTGCTGATGAATATAATTGAAAGCAAAGGGGCTCTTGGGATTTTAAAATGTTATTCTTCTGTCTGAAAAATTCAGAAAATTCTGAAAAAAAGTCTGAAAATTTTCAGTCAAGCCGCTTTCATCGCTTGCCCTATATCTTTGACTCCTGCCATTGATCTGTCACAAGCTTAAAAGGTATAGATATCCTATGATTTAATTTATTCATTTATTGCTGCTATAGACCATTGCATTCCAAGAGCTGGTTGGTACACGAGAATTCTGGAATACGTTGCCTACGAGAGAATTTCACATTTTCCATTCAAAATTATGGATGCAAATTAACTCAATATCTCGGTATTGCTCTCATAGACACGGGTCTTCTTTGGAAGGAATTTCCCATGTTAGTTAAGACCACGTCCGCAGAAACAGTATTTTTAATGAAAATTTGCACAACTAGAAACCGTGACAGTCGGAAACTCCATCAGTGGCGCTTTCGAGAAATTTCGGGTTCAGACAGGCCTCGAGGGGTGGGGCTGCTTAGAAAGAATAAGTTTCTTTGCAACTATGGAATGTCCAGCGTCCATTCACCGTTTCTAATATATCTGGAATTGTTTCAGCCATTAACGTTCTAATTCATACCCTCTACTGCCATGAAGTCGTTTTTATGACCACCTTCGTCATGTGCCTGCGCCACCGAATGCCCATGCATTAAGACCATTGATTTTCGAAGTGGACCAGAAATAAGCCAGTTAGAAGTAGAGTGTCAAACTTGCACGAACTGTCCCGTCGTCTTCAAACATCCTTGCAAATTCTGAGGGAAATTCCAGATTTTGCTCCAGCCTTTTCCCTTGCAGGGAATGATTATGAATGATTCTTTGGAATATTAGAAAATATTAATATGTATATCTTCCATATAATACATGCGGAGCTGCTGCCATGAGTACGATGGAAGTCCCAACGTTAAGCGCAGGATCTGTACGCAATGTCCTCGATATGAGTTATGCATGGGAACTGAGGCACTTTGAGGAAAAACCGGGAAATATATTAGAAATCCCTCCAGATGTAACATTCCCATACCTCTCGCACCTGCCTGCTCCCTCGTTCGTTTTCCTTATACGTTGGCAGGTCCGTCGAAACATTGCTTCACCGCACAGGTAATTAGATCAACACACTCAATCTTAATTTCTGACCGCTCCCTCTCATATTTTGATTGTCCGTCCCTTTAATATTCGGGTATCTATTTTTTGGGATCATAAGCGAGTTCAGTTAGTACCAACTTCATTTATTAACGACTAGAAGTTTCCATTTAACAGCTTATTATGCTATTACTCAGAGAATGGGTGTTGCTTTGTTCACCATATTTCTGAGCCTGAGTTGCTTCTTGAGTGTCTCATCTTCTCGAGAATGAGGCGGGGTCCTCATTGACTCCTTGGGCAAGATCACCTCGCCTGCTTAAACTCATTCCTACACTCTTGGAAAAATCCGAGCGTTTGGGGAGTAAAAAGTGAGCACACCGTGAGCTTTTCGAATTTACTCTCTTATTACTCACCAAATGCTCCCTCATCGCACGTATTGAAGTGAACACCTTCAAGTTCTTCGCCAGGCCCCTAGATGGCGGTAAGGGTCTCGCTTTTCGCACAGTACACAAAAGTTCCCTTCTCTCTTTCCCTGGAATCGTCCCTCGCAGGATTGTTTGGTACCTTGCCATATGTCTCTCCTAGTCTCATTATAGGAATTAATAAACACGGACACTTCATCATTTGTTATCCACATATTCAAGACATATTAATGGTGTCCAGGCCATAAACAAGCTCATATTCCTATCGAGAACCCTTTTGGAACGCGTTTGGTTTTATCCGCATAGGAGATCTAGAATAAATAGAGAATGTCCGTGAACTTCATTTAATCATATATCTCGATTAATTGAGATAATATGGGACTGATATCTCGGACACTCCACGGAACCCATAAGAGGTGGTCCATCCTCTGACGTGTGCTGTATTCAGTACAAGCAGAGGTAGGTCATCGCCTGTACGACAGCGAAAGCGACACACATTATATATGAGAATTTTCGTATTTGCACGACATCTCCATCCCTTTCTGATGGGAGCGTTTTTAATCACGGAGGAGAATAGCAATTTTACTCCTTGGTGATGGAGCAACTTCGCTCCTTTCCCTGAGTAAAAGGGGGGGTGAAACTGGAGTTAGCTATTTTGCTCTCTTTTTTGAGAAAAATCGCTCCCCTTTTTCTAAGAGTGTACCCCCCAACATCCAACTGCCGCTGGGAAATACAGATGAACAAAGAAGTATTTCAGGAAAGTAGAGTAAAATATGTATTAATATTAGCCCTGCTGCAACATGCATGCTGGTATCCCCGTCCCAAAAAATAAAAGGACTCAGAGGTTAAGAGGACGTTTTCACTAGGATTTGGGGGTATCGTGGAATATATAGTGAGGTGTCGCATCACATACCTTCCGGGATACAATGAAATGATTACATTTCAATTAATTCGATGTTTGTAGATAATTTCATCGATTTAGCGTATTGTTGAATTGAAGACTGAAAATGTCTATGAAAGGTGGCAGGTAAACTGACAGGGAAGTACTTATCTTTGCTTTATGCAGTGGAACTTTCTGTAAAAATAAGAAGAATGTAGAGATTTGTACGATTTCCTATTTAGGCACCAGCAACAAGAAATTCTCTCTTGATTTTCCTAGATTTTCTTCCTCAAAGCACCGACGACTGTAATCCAGGTGATTTCTCGACAATCACCGTCCTCGATGGATACGTGTTATGCGGCCAAAACCACACCAGGCTCCTCGAATCTACCGGAAACAAGCTCCTTATTACATTCATCTCAGACGCTGACGACCAAGAAGGCTTTCCATTCCGCCTGTGCTACATCACCGTGTCCAAGTGTGAAGATGGAAGGGTCGAATTTGGATCGCACTGTTACTTCTTATCCAATGAGGAATTGCCATTTGAGGCAGCCCGGGAGTATCGAGAGGCGAGAAATGCCCAACTGAAAAGTATTCATACAATGGCGGAGCAGACGTTCGCGCAGTGGCGTTCGAGAACTCCGATAGTTATGGTTGAAGCCCTTCAGACAGGACCGTTAGATAAAGGTCCCTTTGCCTCGTACTTCTTTTTTCACATGCTATTTCATAGGGGGTTTCCTCCCTTGTTTCTCATGCTTATGTCAATCCCCACCAATGCGTATTGGAAATGTAAGCCTCTACTACCGTACGACCCTACGACGAACCAGTTCGACGTAATGCTGCTGCATGCTGTTGAGCTCTTCTTTCGTACCGCCCCGTGCCACATGACCATTTAGGATGGAGCAATACTTGTCTTGAAGGGGTTAGTTTAAACCATGAAAATATTGGTGATAATTTGGAACGATTCGCTGTCCCGGAGAAAGAGACCAGGAAAAAGAGATAGGGTATCAAGGTTCGGGCACTACGTTATAATATTCACAAAGCATGGAAATTAAAACCACTGTACATTAAAAGGCTTCCAACTACGGTAACTACCGATTTTTATATTTATTTTGTACACGCCCTGCAATATCCGACCTTTATGGGTGAAATGGGTGAAATCGTCCATTGATATCACTAACTATTAATATCTTGAATCTTGAATCTTGAATTTCTCCTAGCCAAGAAATCTCTAATGCAAATGCAAATTTAAAAAGATTAGATTTAAGCAACAGATGCCAGCATGGGATCCCCTATGTGTGTATTAATAACGCAAAATCATCTCAAGTGTGAAAATATATCAATAGTTCGTTCTTGAAAATGTTAAAAATTACCTCGAATGATGAATGGAAATTTCAAATTTTAAAAATATTTTCAGAACAAGTCGTATCCAACGCGATCACATAACTAACCTAGATTTCTTTTTTAGTTCTATACTATAGGAGCACTTAAGCTAATTCCAGCCTTTCATTTGACAAAATGAATATTATGCTTATTTCATAGGTTTCTCCTCAAGATGAAATAGGACAATCACAATAAGTGACTTTCACACGAAGTTCGTGAAAAGCCACATACAACGATTTCCTTTGCACAGACGTTTAGCAAAAGAAAGTGTGCAATGGCTTGTGGAATTTTCATGCACTGCCCTAGGCAAATTGTTGTGGCATTTATATATTGATTCGTCATTTAAAATATAGTTAAATCCATTTTGTATGCCAAACACTCCATATGCCCATGCGACACTTTGGACGGGGCTAATTGCAACATTGGGAAAATATTGAAAGTGTTTTTTTCCATGGGAACCCATCCACCCGTGTGAAGTCCATCCTGTTTCTCGGAGGATTGTGATAGTTCCAATTCTCTTCCACGTGCCTGTTCCCACGAAATCCGTATACAGTATATTCCAGGCTAGGGCTAGCAATACTTCACACCAAATTTCCAGCCACTTGCAGTCCTCAGCTCTCATATCCGTTGATCAGTACAACTGCTACAACAATTTCTCTATTGTCTATTACCTTTGTACCTTTTTCTACTGTCTGAATATTTAGTGTGAGTCCAATTTTGCTACTGCAATTACTTGTTCTAGCCCCGGTTTTCTTTATAGGGTTGCTTTCTTGTCTTTACAGATGGAGAGCATCAAGTTGGCGTCCCTGTTTTCGGTGCTTTCTTGCCTTATGGATGCCTCATTATGCCAGAATTGCGGCGAGACGTTCACTGCTTCCTGTGGTGAAATCAAGTCTCCTGGATATCCGGACTCCTACCCTCCTTTCAGCAACTGCCACTGGGAAATTCAGGTGCGTCCATCAATCTATTATTAAAGGATAGAGGAAGTCTCAAAAGAGCAGAAGTAGCACAAGGGTAGGAAATTAGGAACGGAAGTTGAACTCTCTCGTCTTCTTGTCTCGATTTCATTACGAAATGTACTTTGTGAGATTCTAAGGATTACGCTTGAAAGACTAATTGCAAGTGGTGCCTGTAAAACATTGAGAAACCTTTAGTGAGTTTCAATTATCAGGTCAGGTCTTTGAAAAATTATTTTCGCATTGCAACCGCATTTTCAAAAGAGCACAATTTTTTATGAGCAACCTTAAATCAACGAGATAATCTCCATAATTTTCGACAACCTTCGTCCATCGATCACAAGTAAGGATGCGGTTCAAGATCGGGTCTCTTCGCTGCCGGGAAAGCAGTGAGGAACAGATTGTCAGACGCTGGAGCTTGTCATCGGTCAGTCGGTGAGGCACACGTCTCACCAGCTTGCCCACCTTGCCCAGAGTATGCAGATGGCGATCAACGGTGGCAATAAAATGGTTAAGGTTCTTCCACTTGAATATAAGCCTCAGAAAATGCAAGCCCTCTATGAAAAGTTATGGCTCTTCAAATAAAGGTCAGAAAAATACGAAAATACATTTGCAAAACCAGATACATTACATTAAAAGTAGATTCCGAGGGAATGAAAACAATAATGTTGCAAAGCAATTAAAAAAACTGCTCCAGATGTTTGCAGACAGTTTTTTTTCTTTCAACTTGTCTTAGGCCGACGAAGACCAAAACATTTTGATAATGTTCTACGAATTCCATCTGGAATATACGGAAGAATGCTTTTTCGGAGATTACCTAACCATCACCGGCAACAATGGAGACCCAATCATATTCTGTGGCGAGACTACCCCTTATACCATAGAATCAAGTGGAAATAGCCTCTCAATCAATTTCATCTCCAATGCTGATGACAATCAAGGATACCGATTCCATCTGCTTTATACCGCCATTCCCTCATCTAACTCATCCCGATGCGAGGATGGTTGGGAAGAATTCGGGTCGCACTGTTACTACTTCTCGGACGAGGAAGCGAACTTTACTGATGCAAAAGCGGCATGCGAGGCAAGGGGGGCCCTACTGACGAGCATTCACTCAAGGGAGGAGCAGCTCTTCATACAGGAACACGTCAAGACTCCGACTGCTTGGATCGGAGCTGAACCTAGAGGATGTCAGGACTATAATCCGTATTGTTTCGATTTTATTGATGGAACGCCCAATGACTATCAAAATATGTGGCTGGGGGGGCACCTAGTTGGTTTTTGCTCTGCTTCGGAATGTGGGATAATCCTCGTCCCAGATCTTTGGGCGAATCGAGACTGCTCGGATACCAAACCGGTGATCTGCGAGTCCACCAAGCAATTCAGTGTGGATTGGCCCTGTTACTCTCCAGAAATCTGCTTCCACATCTCGAAGGAATCCTTCTCTTTCGATGAAGCCAGTTCTTATTGCCAACATTTCCGTGGAGCTAATATCCTCTTCTCTATAGGATCGAGTGAAGGTATTCAAACTGATTTGGCAATCACCTTCGAAAAGCCTCTTTACTTTCAACACCCTTTGCCAGAATGGAGTGAGTTTTGGGTTGGATTGAGGCGAGGAGTATTAGGGGACTGGAAGTGGGCAGACGGATCTCCCTTCGACTTGGACAGATGGGAAGAAGGATATCCCACTGACGACGGTGGCGAATGCGCTGTAATTACAACATCATCCTGGGATGATGCCCTTAAATCGAACTTTGCATCCTATGTCTGCAAGAAATTGCCCGAGGGGAACTCAACTTGGTACCGTAGCAGCCCTTCTTGTTTTCATGTGATTGCGAAAACGTTCAAGAACGTTTTTGTGATCATTCCATTTTTTATGAATGAACCTTAACACATTGCTTCCAGATGTCTCATTCCCTAGCCTATCACTGAATCCCGGCCATTTCTGCCAGAAGATAAAGTTTTACTAGTACAATAAAACCTGTCTCACCAACTACTTGTGACACACAAGTAATTGAGAAACCAACATTTTTAGCAAGGTTCACAAAATGTTTACACGCTTTCTTATTCTGATAATCATGAAAGCATTGCACTTCGTGCAGTGGCACCTGACAGATATGAATCAAGTATCTTGTTTCACCGCGCGTCTCTCTCTGCAACACACCCTGCAGTACCTTGCCGGGAATATATATTTTGGTGTAGGAGAAATAGGGACCAGTACTTGACTATCACTGCTTTCCACGTCAATATTTACATCGGAATCTCTAGCTGCACAAATTTTATTTGATTTCTCAGTCCTTGGGTTTTTTCCTATAGTCTTGAACCAGCCATCTTAGGATAGCGCTACGAATGTAAACCAGGGTAGAAATCTCCGTTCTGAAATACAATTATTTCAGAGGGTGTTATTTAATATATTGGCAGAACAATATAACTAAGATGACCGTTCATCTTTGCAGAGTGAGTAGAGTATAAGCATGACAAACCTCACTGAGAAATCCCCTTTTTAAAAAAGTTTTGAAGCATGACATGCGTGAAAACGTAATATTACGTTTCCAGGCTGATAAGAAAGGTTTTCCACCATGTAACTTTACGTTTGCATAATGTCAGTGCACCTTTCGAATCCCTGGGCTCCCAACTCGTTTCATATAATTCTTCAGTCTATGTATGTCGATATGTGAGTTTTTTGTGTAATGCCCGCCGCTGGCAGTGTTTGTGCGAGAAGCTGAGCTCGTCACCCTAAACTTACGGTTCGCATTCCGATTATATCCTCTACCAACGCGAATTCATTTTTTCTAAATAGTATTAGGTAGCCAGTACAAAATGCACGGAAGTGTTTGAAGACAATGATTGAGAATATGGCCAAAGGGGCCACTCCCCCACCCCCTGGTTCCGCCACTGGCTGGACATGTGAGAAGACAGGACGCGGTAAAAGCACCCCTAACTCCTCGGTCTGCCCTTCGATGATCGTTATTGCTTAGGACGGGGAACTGACGTCGAGCGAAGAAGAAGGGCAACTCAAAGATCAAAGCGTTCCTTAACCCTTTTCCGGGCAAGTTATTTTTGTGGCACAAACGGGCAAGGCCAACCATTTTTAAAGAACTTTTTCCTTAAAAGCAAATCCAGACTTTAAAAATTCGTTTTTGAATCTATGGATGACTGTGAAACCCACATCAAATTTGAAGAATATTTTTAAAAAATTTGCGGAAAGTATTGAAATGAAATATACCCTGGGGGGAGGGGGGGGGTCCAATGGACCTTCCTTGCCCAGGTATGGGTTAAATCGTCGCCTCTTAGGACAATGTGGTATGTGGGCTTATATCCGCGGCCTCACGCTACTCACATCGCGTCCCGCCACGCACAATTCCGAACGTTAATGGCCTCACGGCACGCTACGTGTACCTGTTACTATGGCCATGGGAGAGCCACTGACCAAAGAAAAAACTAGAGATGGCGCACCTGTAGGAACAGAATAGGCAGGCGTGCTGCACTTGGAAGCCATACTAGTTGGGCTCATGGCGCCTAATCACCATCTATGGGATTTCACCCGAATTTTCAGCCCAACTTTCTTCTAAATACTAACTCGCAGGAAAACAGCCCTGACACAGCATGCACAATATATTCTCAAAGGAACCGGTAAGGCTTATTGAGTCGTTCCAAGACTTCTTTTTATTGTGAACATGGGTCAAATACTTCAGTTTAGGCTGATGCCAAAAAAGGGCGATTGGGAATAGGTCGAAGCAAAATGCCAGCTATTCACATGCGAAGTGATTTATTGAGTTTAAAGCAGGCTAGCTGTGCGCATTGGCTGGGAAAAGGATCAGGTACCGAAGGATTATTGGAGCAGCCCTACGGAATCATACCCTGCCAAGACACGCCAACACCTCTACCAGGCACCTCGTGGTCATCCATCGTCTCCTTTAGCCTATGTTTGCCTTTCAACTTTCACTTCGTCAAACGAACTAAAGTTTGATCGACTAATTGAAAGTTGAAAGGCAACACAGGAAAAAGGAAAACCTCATGTCTTAGACAGGGTGTAAAAAAGGTCGACCATCATGATGGAAGAGCGGTGTAACGTTATCACCTTTGTAGGATCTCAGCGAAGGCAGCCTGGAACTTGAGACTCACTCCAGAAATTGGGGATAGGGAAACGGGAGTGCTTCGTCTTCCCCATCTTATCCTTTCTGCTTCTGTGCCGTACAGGTGGGATCCCGCCATTTTCACCCTCGAGAATCACTCTCTTTGTGAGGAATAAGAAGATTAGGTTCCGATCGATAACTGGGGTTATCAACGGTATGATTGGTAACGGGTTCTCAACTGGGGGGGCGCGTGGGGGTCCCAAGTCTGGTCCGGTCACCTAACCTTCACTGGGTTTTGAGCGAGATGAAGAATTTGAACAGTGACACATCGCGTCAGCCTGAGGTTCATCGTTGTAATGGGTATTCCAGCCAGAGGAGAACAGACATGAAGAGCCACTATACCGTCCCATTTTGTCCCCTCATCGTGACTCCGTTTTGCCCCACCAGCACCGTCTATGATTATGACTCTGCCAAACAAAAGATGAGTGAGTTATGAAAAAAATTATGACTTTTTAAGTTAGTTGCCATTTTCACCTTCAGCCCAAAAAAATATCGGATGCCTACAATGTTCCAATGTCATTTTGTTTCACTCATCAAAAACTCAAAACAAAAGAAGATAAATCTATGTCCAACAAGTCAATTAATGTGGAGTTTGGACTGTAATTTGATTATTTTCCCTTCTTACCTACCCTTCTGTGCATGGAGGGAGACCGAAGGGGCACTCCCTCAATGATTTTACGAATATTCTGTACATATCGGTAACACGTGTAGCAGCTGTTAGGGAATAGAGGATCTCGACATTTCTTTTTCTCTATCGGGTATCATATCAAGGTGCGATCGTTTTCATGGGAATTCCCGCATTTGTAGTAAATTTTGCTCTCGACTGAGAAGCCGAGGCAGTATCCACGTGCCTTCCTTCTCTAAATCCCTCGAGCCGTCCAGCTTCACAGCCAAAAACCATCTGCGATACTCATCTCTCATCCCTATTGCTTTACGTTGTCTCACGTTTGGTCCCCCGACTTCACGAAGGTGTGTGCATTCCTGGTTTTTTTCCCTCTCCCCCTCTACCGACAGCCTCCTTTCAATCAGTGCTTACCGGAACATTTTGCAGATGGCGCTTGGCGTGGTTATATCTATTTGCTTCGTGCTGAGTTCTTTGTTGCGTGCCTCGTTGTCGCAAGAATGCGACGAAGTCCTCACTGGTCCCATTGGAGAAGTCCAATCTCCTGGTTACCCTGACTCCTACCCCCCCAACACCAGATGCCACTGGCTCATTCAAGTGAGTCCATTTCACCTTAGATTTGAGCCTGCGTGAATCATGGAAATGATACTTTTTCTTTCATATCTGATTTCGAGGTGTGCTCTATTGCGCCGAAACAATTGGTTCAAAGTTCCCATTCCCGCTTCTCCAAAAGATTGCGCTGAGGATACCGGATACTTCAATATCGCCGGCTTGTTTCATTCAAGCAGTACTTAAAGGACAGAACCTTTTCTTCACTCGCAAGGCCGATTAAAAATGGGTTATTGAAGAAAGCAATTTATTGCATGAACTATACGCATCATTCTCTCGAATATGACTTCACAAATGGTTATTCTGCCATGCAGAGACGAAGAAACTCCTGCGGGCGCTAAAACCAAGCTTATGAAGCACTGCCTTAAAACATGCGTTGCTGGAAATGGATGCAGCTGCACTAAAGTAACCAGAATATTATTGACAATCATAATATAGCTGTTTCGGTGAGATGGGATCCCTTTGAGGTCTTCTGGCCTGACTCTAATGTTTTTCTTTCTGAGGGGCCGCGTTTCTTGCACAGTGTGACGCTACGAAAGTCTACGCAAGGTGAATGCTTTCGAAGGAGGAATATTCAAACTTTCGATGAGTGCCAAATAACCTTCTCAGTACATGCACTACAGTGATTGCAGAACGGTACACAGAAATGTTAGGACAATGTAGAAAATCATGTTGAACTTACACACCTTCAGGAATTCGAACCTCACGTGCAAGGAACTTGAGTCCCTATGACATAATGCTCAAGTATGATTCATTATGCTGCTCTATTTTCTTTCGGAATAATTCTTTTAAAATAGTAAATCTGTAGCACTAAATTCCTAACAGTCCTGCATTAAAGTATTTCTAATATTGATTGGATGAGATCTACGACTTCAAATCCGGAAAACCTAAGAATTTTCATCAAAATGAATAAAACATATGTTCTTTTCCGTTTTCCCAAGGCTCCACCAACTCGAAAAATCATTCTGAACTTGAATGACTTCAACTTAGAGGACAGCGCGGATTGCTTCTCCGGCGATTACCTGACCGTTACCGATCCGAAGGGTAAGTCCAACGTGTTCTGCGGCCAAGAGCATCCACAGAGCATTGAGTCGGTTGGGAACGTCCTATATGTCGACTTCACCACTGACGATGATGACCAAAACGGATTCCGATTTAGTTTCACTTACCGGACCGTTTCCGTGTGCGAGGAAGGATGGGAGGAATTCGGATCCCATTGCTATTTCTTCTCGGAAGAGGAAATGGGTTTTAATGACGCTCGAGATGACTGCGAGGCCAGGAATGCCAACTTGACGAGCATTCACTCGGACGAAGAGCAGATGTTCATCCAAGAGAGGTGCCATTCGCCGACCGTTTGGATCGGCGCTATTCCTACTGGATGTCAGTGGAATGACCCCTTCTGCTATCACTTCATCGATGGAACGCCCAATGACTATCACAAAATGTGGCAGGGAACGTTTCTGGTTGGTTCCTGCACGGGATTACAATGCGCCATCGCCCTGGTTCCAGATCTGTGGAGGAACCGGGACTGTTCGGAAAAGAGGCCGGTGATCTGCGAAGTCTCCACAAAGGAAAGAAGCGATGATTGGATCTGCATAACCCCTTATAGTATCTGCTTCCACCTCTCCAATGAATCCTTCTCCTTCGACGATGCAAGATCTTATTGCCGACAATTTGCTCCGGCTGATATCCTCTACTCCGTGGGAAACGACCAAGATCTGCAAGGGCTTCTGGCTTTCGCCTTGGAAGGACCATGGCATTTCGAACATCCCCTGCCAAAATGGAGTGAGTTTTGGGTCGGATTGAGGCGAGAGGTGTCAGGGGACTGGGCGTGGGTCAACGGATATCCCTTCAACGAGGACCGATGGGAAGAGGGTTTTCCCACAGACGACGGTGGCGATTGCGCCGTTATGACTACATCTGGGTCGGATTGAGGCGAGAGGTGTCAGGGGACTGAGCGTGGGTCAACGGATATCCCTTCAACGAGGACCGATGGGAAGAGGGTTTTCCCACAGACGACGGTGGCGATTGCGCCGTTATGACTACATCGTCCTGGGATGATAGCATGAAAGGGGCTTTCGCATCCTATGTCTGCAAGAAGTCGCCCGTGAGGAACGACCATTAAGTTTTTCCGCGACCCTTCTCGTCTTTACGTGACTGGGAATATATTTCAGTAAAAGGCTTTTCAAAAACGTTCATTTTTTCCAATAAAAATCGTAGGTTCTTTAAATACGAACTGCCTCATTTCCTCCAATTATTTAGATTAAATTGAATCCATCATATATTTGTGCGCAAAACTACCTCATTTTCCTCCAATTATTCGTGAAATTGACTGGATCACCTTGGATTTTGCGATAAAAAATTCTCAGAAATTGCAGTCCATCTGACGGGTCCATAAAAAGAAGCTACCCCTGTCCTATTTGCTTTTAGCGAGATATCGCTCATCGAACCTTGGGGAAAACAGAAAAACAACACGGGCGGCAAAATGTCCATATCAGAAACCGCTTGCCATACCGAGGCGGGCAACGGCTCAAACTAGAGCTCTTCAATAAATGATCAATTCTTTTCATTCTTCTTCAGGGTTTGAATTGAAGTAGAAAACACGAAAGTTATGCAGGTATATTGCTCATACCCTCAAAGTAACACTCAGAAGCCTTTCAGCGTGTAAAAATTATCTGCTTAAATGGCTTCATGGAAAACTGCTGAATGAAATAATCATCAGTAAATATTTATTTTCAACATTATCAGCATCAAATAAATAGCAAAAAAGTATGACGGGACACGAAGGGCACAATTCAATATAATTCAACTTGCCCAAAATTATTTAGAATGGGTGATGTGATGTTCGGAACTGAAAATAGTTCTCCAAGAATTGAAGAAAATTTCCTTCTCAAATTGAACAGCGTCCATATGACCGTCATTGCCACTGACTTTCGTGCAATGCTATGGGGACATGCATGGAGCCATACTAACATGCTCTAAGGAATCACAAACACTAATGTCCTGATATATTCTTCCAGCTCTCAGGAGTAAATCTCAAGAACAACTATAGTACGCTCACTGCAGTAATGTATTGCTTTATACATTTATATGGTGAGAATTCAAGTATTTATTAATTCTACATATAAACTACACCTGCATTAATGCGTTTTTTTCATGCACGACGAAAACTTTGATGGTTGATGGCAGATGTGTGTAACGCTAATCTCTTTTAAGTAGTCAAATATATAAAATGTATTGCTCAGTACGTGTTACTCTTGAATCAGATATCATCTGCAGAATGAGTATTTTCCACCGGAAGTTAAACATTTCGATTTTATGCGCGTGCAATCAAGCTGAAGATCAAAAGAGTTGGCAGACAAGGTATTCGAGAACACACGAGCAACATATAAATAATACGCAACACGCACATACTGCATCAGAATGAGGAGTCGCTAGAGTCGTCAAAAGCATCGGGAGGAGGCGTGATAGCTCTTACAAACGTCCATCTGCTTTCAACGAACGACCAGCTTGTAGGACGTGAATTTGGAACCAGGTGGATGTTCCACCTAGTGACTATCTATCTTGTCTTTTCCTCACTTGTTTTTCGAAGCAAGTAATTTAGATGCTTTCCCCAAGGTGGATTTTTAACCAGGTGGACATCATTCCAACAGGTGGGAATACTCCTAAAGGGACATCCACCTGGTTCCGAATCAACCTAGCAGGTGGACGTTTTCGTAGGGAGGATAAAGAAATGGATTCCATGGAAATTAGGGTGTCGGATATGGAACGGAACGGAATCGTAAACCGGAACGGACTTTTGCTTCCTCCCGGAATGGAACTACATGAAAGAGGGAAGAGGAACGATATAACGGAACATAACCAGCTGATCATACCGGTTTTTAACGGTTTATATCGTTGCACTGGCGGGCTGATCATGGATATACCAGAATACCATTCTTACACTCGCATTCAGAGTCATGAAGGAAAGGGGCATTACTTCGTTGTTTTCGCTCTCAATCATTCTTAATCTTCAGTTTCTTATTTCGCCTCAGGATATTGAACCGGTTATCTCTAAAATGTTCACGCAGGAATTACAAGGTATATAAAACCTGTCTCATGTCGTGCCAGGCGTCACCAGAGCGGTGTATGCGTAAGTTATACATCTTAGTGTCCAATTCGAATATTTTCATGCCTATAATAATCCCACATGCGGTGCTGTTTCATATGTACCTCTAGTGATTTGTTATACAGAAATAGACACCCTCGCAGATGGTCAAACCAAAAACCTATCCAGATCATAAGTATTTAGTCGTTGATTCACATGAGGACGAGCCGCGCTGTCAGGTGAAGGATTGCCCACTTCCTAACGTCATTCGAGCGAACCCAAATCTAAATTAGATTTGGCTTCGCTCAATCTCCACAAAAACTATGAATTTATAATCCTGCAGCAATATGACATTGCTTGCTTTTTTAAATAAAGATGCAAACAAAATTTGGAAGTGAGAAATTGGGCTTCTTGGTGCAATCATGGAGGGAACCTAGAGCGCCATATTAGTCACACCACTCAAATCTTCATACACAACTACAGACAAAAAAGGGAGATACGTCTAAAAATAAGCGTGTGATAGAAGAGGCTGTTCCAAGTCAAGGAACCGAATTTATATTGCAAAAAGTTAACACTAATTTGAGACCGAATACCATAACTACAGGGTGATTCACTAGGTAGAGGCCCCGGGATTTTGCTAATACGGTATTTTCTTTATGAACCGATTTCCATAAAAGCATATTCAGCATATAATGTATATGTAATCAATTTGTAATGGAATGAGGTCTGTTTGAACCAAGTTTTATGAAAATTGGTTTATAAATAAAGAAAATATTAGCGAAATCCCAGGGCCTCTACCTAGGGTCATTTCACGGAAATGCCAACCAAAAACCATAAAATATGAACTACAGAAAATGATTCATCTTTCATGCTCTAAGAAGTGTGATTGGGAGTGGCTGCATTAAAGCCTCTTTTACTGGGAAGAATCTGAGGGTGCATTCGTATGAGATAAGAAAGTTTCTTGACTAGATGTGCTTCGAATTAAATGCTGCTGTTACAATGGTTGAAAATGATTAAATATTGGGTGGGTTCGAACAAATAGATGATCATGTCTTCCAAAGCACATTATTTCGTCACGAAAAGCTCCATCTTCTCTCGCTACTGCCCCGCGGATTTATATCATTTTCCTGTTATGTGAATAACGTGCTTCCTGCAACTGAAGAAACACCGGAAAATTTAGGTAGATGCCGAAGAGGACTAGTTTAAAAGATATAACCATCAGCAGTCGTGAAGAGCCACCACAGCGTCATAAAAAGTAAGTCTTGGAACATTTTGATCACACTTCGTATAAGATGTTCAGTAATGAGATTACAGACTGGCCCTGTCACGCTCCAGGCAAAGAAAGAAGGCTGCTGGAGGTATGACCTGAAAGTTCATACGTCGTGAAATATTTATATTTATCTGAAATTGTACCTTCTTGAAAGGGGCGACTCGCCCAGTCCAGCCGTTTTCCTCGTCTCCCTATCCTCCCAGAGAGAAATAGAGGCTAGTAAATGAATTTTACTGGCCAGATCCCCTCGCACGACTGATTGGCTCAGTTGATACAACACTAATATTCTGATTTGAACGTTTTTTTACTTAAATCCTGGTAGCGGAAACCTTATTTCCATGCAATGTAGCCTGAACAACTGAACATACATACCTACCTTATACTCCAGTTGGCCCAGATATAGTAGTAGACAGGCGTAGTAGTTGAAAACAGTTCTACTTAGCCTGTGGAAGGAGTAACTTAATTCATATTCATCCCAGAGAGGAGACACAACATGAGCATGGGCAAGCATATGCAAAGCCGTTGCTTATTAGACGGTTTCGGGAAAGCGAAGGCTAAGATGCTGCACCATAGCCCTCGCAAGAAAAGAAAGCTGTGCTACATTATATTCTCCGTTTCCCAAAGCCAGAGGCAAAAGGTAACAGTTGAGAATTTGAAATGTCAGGAGGATGTACTCTGGCAATCTTCTGCAATATTCATGAGAGCTGAAGCCAACTAGAATTGAAAGAAAAAACCCATCAATTTCATAACACGCCATTTGGCGATCTTTCATTTCGTTGAACGGAGTTATGTGAATAACGAGTGTCTTCCAAAGCAAACGCTCCTTTGTATCCAAATTCTTTATACCAAAATGTAATATGTTGAAGCGCATAGAATCCTGATCAATATGACAGGAAGCAATGAAGTATGTATGAAAAATCAGAAGAAAATCGGTTTAAAAAACTACCTATATTTTCTTGGTCGCTTTTTATCACGTAAATAATGCGATTCCACTTAGGGTCTATGGGGTTCGATTTGGGGAGATAATGAGAATAAGCAACTGGACAACATGCCATGAGAATCCTTCTGTGAAGGGAAGTGAAAATATGGATGTCTACGTTGAGCGACATTGCGCCAGGAGCAATTTCATTGACTTTTTTCGCTTCCGAAGTTATGTGAATTACAATGAAATTGCCCCCTAGTGAATCACCCTGTATAACCATTAATATTAATTAGGGCTGTCAATTCGATTAGATTAATCGACCGATTAATCGATTAGAGCATTAATCACGATTAAAAAATTAGTTGAAGTTAATCGTATTTTAATCGACCCTCTTATCTCCCCCCGAATGCCTCTTTTTAACATCATAACTTTACTAGGTAGTTCATAGTTTTTCACAACAACAGACAACGAAGGCTTTATCATAGGAATGAAATGTAAGAATGGCTTATAGAAGCTAGTCGTTTTCGCACTTCTCACTCTTCCTCAAAAAAGACTTAATATTTTTAGAAAAAGGGAACATAAATCAAAGCCATCGCTTTCAGACTATTCCAAAAAGAAGCTTCCTGACCCTTCGCATCCACAAGCGTACTGATACGCATACCGTATCCTTCTGTCTAACCTATGGGCTTTAAAAGCATAGCCTTGCTGGCCTTGCGCGTCAGGCTAAGGTAACAGCGGCTTAGGGCATAGCGACCGAAAAATCACTGGATGCGAATGGGGGAAAGAAAGTCGTAATGAAAGTCGCAATAAAGCCGCAAAAGTACAGTAGGAAGAGGGGGGTTGAGCAGAGACATGGGATAGGAGAGGCGGGATAGAGGATCTTGTAAATATTAGGGAGTGAGAGGCGTACCTTTAAGTGCACCGACGAAGGTCTGTGGAAATCCCCCCGGAAGTAACCGAGAGAGGAGGAGAGATGAGGGAGAAATGGAAAGGGAAGTGTGGAAGACTCTCCTTTTCTTTGTTTGCTCCTATTTTTGCTCTTCCATCCTGTGTTGCCCAATAATCATTAATGAATCATTAAATCTCAACGAAATGAAATGTCACTGTATACGTCCAATCATTTTATGCTACATTTTTGCATCCTGCTGTTATGGATTGGCTAAATGGCAATATTTTAAATGGCAAGAGCCTCAGTACGCTTCTTTCCTTACGTTTCGTGATTTATCTAAGTTGTAACAATTTTCCTTCGGATCGGAATGTGTCACATATAGAATGAACTAGTCGAGTCACTCACTCGAGTCACTTCCTGGGGCTCACCCAGGAGTTGGGCATGACACAAGCAGAATCATTACCAGCGTCTAGGACATGATTCAAAGAGGAACTAAGGGATTGACTAAAATTCTATTAATCGACCGATTAATCGATTAAATGGCTCGCGATTAATCAATCAATTTTTTTAGTCGATTGACAGCCCTAATATTAATGCCCTCCTAAATGGTTGCGTCGAAATTTTTACGGAAAATGGGTGGCCTTTTGCTGCTCTGGGATCCTCAAGATTTTTGAACTCATAATGAAGGCGTTGAACGTCTCTATGGATGCGGAAAAGGAGTCTTCCCTCACTCGTCATCTTGTATGATCCATGAAAGCGAATTATCGTGGAGAAGTGGCAGGTCGGCTCGTTTCGCTGAAAGTCGACATCGCGACGAAACTAGATGGGGACAATAGGGATCAACATGCAATTTCTGAAAGATGGCAAGCTCATACTGCGAACATTAGCAGTGAAAATACTCAAGGAGTCCAGCCATCAAAGCAATAATAGGTATAGTATTAATACTGGAAGACTATGGGCTGTGTGAGGCAAACCTGTATTGCGTGACCACCGACAACGTGTCTGTCGTGGTGAAAGCAGTTGTGCTTATATGTGAAGAGGACGAGGCTGTTTCAGGAAATAACAGTATTGGAAATGATGCTGCTCTCGACCGTCTGGAAGATTTTCACCATGAGGAAGACATGAACTTTAATTTTGGTCTCATGTCTGTCTGTAGCATCCGATCCTCAATTCACACCCTCCAGGTCGCCATCAAGGGTGCACTCGATGACAGGGTAATACAACATTTTATATAAAAGGGGAGAGCAGTAGCCAAGAAATTTTGCACAGCAAACATAATGCACCTTTTAAGGTCGAGGAAATCATAGCAGCTCATCATTTATGTTTTCACGCGATGGATTTAGACCATGACATGCTAAATCGACTCATGGAGTTGCGGCCATTTATAGTTGCATTGGGAGCGGAAAATGCCGGTCTGTTCTTGGATGATAGCACTTGGGAGGAAATGGAACGACTCCGTGCTGCTGTCGAGCCTGCCAGAGTTATAACAATGTAACTTCAAAATGAAAACTTTATTTCAGGGGATATATTGGGAAATTGACTTTATGGTGTGGTGGGAATAGGGGAAGAAACAAATGCTCGAGCTTTATGATATTGCAAGAGTTTCTATGGCGGTTCGAAGATTCAGGTGAGGGTTGAGCGACTCTTTTTATAGCTTCGGTTCTTCTTTTCCTTGCAGAGACGTGAGGCTTTCTCCGGAGTCGCTGGAGGTCATACTTCTTCGGTCTAATGGACATAGAATGAAGATTTTCCTTACAGTTCCGACGTCCTCTCAAAAACTTACTCATCAAAATTTCACGGATTTTTAAATTGCATTTCTGTCTAAGAGATGCATTTTGTCATTGATCTTTACAGTATTTTTTGCATTATTACTTTGTGCAGTAACGAATGCGAGGTGTTTGACTGCTAGTCAATTTTTTTTAATTTGAATTTAATTTTATTCAACTCAGTTCAATGACTGAGTTCATCAAAACGGAAATCTGGTCCGGCCATTGAATCAGCCCAGCGAAATTTCTTCATCTGAGTCTTAGTGAATATCTTCTCAATGGAGATACCATGTTTCTTACACCAGGCAACGGTGATTCTTGGATCCAAGTAGTACAATTTGGATACTATCGAGGCTATTTCCTTTCCTTCCTTTGCGAGAGCTGCTTTGACCTTGAGTGTCGAGAGTTTCTCTTTTAACATATGAAGATACTGCTTCTTCTTCACCTCTGCCTTCTTCCCCTTGTAGGTTTTCTTAGCAGTCGCCAGGTCCTCCTTCGCCTTCTGCATCGCTTTCATTGTTTCTTTGATTTTATTTTCGAATTTCTTGACAATGTTGGAGTTGGCTTTGAGGCTGGAGCGCTGATGGTTGCAAAGGAGTGCCACGGCCGCGTTTGCTCGATTGTAAATCAAGATCTTTTCTGTGTCCTCAGCGTCAACAGAAACAGGAAGTTCATCTAGCTTTTTCTGCAGAGTCAACGATGCATTATAAGTCCGGAATACTCTCGCAGTCAGTCCAGGCATCAGGGGCTTTAAATACTTATTGAGGCTGGCAACGCTGAGCTCATCAAATAGTTTATCTTCGTCCTCTTTCCCATTCTTGAAGCTCCGAAGTTTCTGATGGACTCTCTTGTCAACATGGACCTCATTCAGATAGCGAATTGAATCTTTCCCTAGAAAGTCAAACTTGACCTTGTAATTCTCAGAGTCGGCCTCTTCCATGAGGGTAATATGTTCGCAACGTAGAGAGCAGCAGCCTACAGTATCAGCCGTTTCTTTTGCATCCTTCTCGTTCCCAACTCGGAGAGCCAATTTATCAATGAGGTACATCGCTACCCCGCGCTGTTGGATCTGCACATCCTCGCTCTCCATGTCCTTCCAATAATTTTCCCGAATCATGTGGATGTGTTGATGGAGTCTTCTTGCAGTTTCAAACTTCTGACAATCCTTCATCATCTTCAGGGTAGCTAGAGGGCTTAGCTTGATATACCTGAGATGTCCAGTGATACTGTCAGTCCAGCAGGCCAACCAGGTCACCTTAGGGTCATGGCGGACTTCCTTCCAGTTGTGACCCAGTGGAGGCTTTGGAATCTTGTTCCTACTGCAATTGATTATCACGTCTTCCGGCATGATGCGGCCCTTAAGTCTCCCCTGCTTAGGGTGCTCCCCTCGGCCACGAAAGAGACGTGGCGCTTCGACTTTGAAGTTCCCGATGGGTTCCTTACGGCCGTCGATGGTACAATACCCATACTCCTTCTCCTCCTTCAATTTCTGCTTTGCTTCCTTTGACTTCATTGATTTCTTCTGCTCTCTTAAATAATCACATATATATTTAAAATTGCATTTCTCAATATCCTTAATGATTTCCTTTTCCCTTTTTATCATAACGTTGCGCCAATCTTCCATGAAATTCTTATTGAAGATTTCCTTCGTTGTGCATTCCAAATGCAATATCTCAGCGTAAAAAGTGGCAACCTCTTCGGCAGGGGGAGATAACTTCATCGATTTCTTGTCATAGTAAAACCTAATGCCTTCAGGTAACGGCACATAATCCGGCGAGAAAACAGGACCATTGTGTTCCAATGTTTTCCATTTTTCGCCACTATCACTCATTTCTTCCACCCACCGTTTCCATTCTTCTTGCTCTTCTTCCACCATACATTTTGATTGATGGGTTACCCTTTCAACTGTGTCTCTCTTCGCCTTGCCTTTCTTACTTTGAAGACCATCTTCGTCATCGTCATCAGAATTCTTCCGTTTTCGCAAATTTCTCTCACGGCCTGTAGAGCCCTGTTTTAGAGAATGATAATACAGTGTCTCAAGAAAGGACAGTATATTATCTTGAAAATCTCCAACAATATCAAGTAATGGTTGTGATTGTGATTTTGATGGTTGTGATTTTCTACATATGATATATCAGGTGAAAGAGGAATACTCCTGTTAACTTAAAAATAATAAGTTTACCAAGTGCTTCAAATGCAATACCTTTTTGAAGTTTAAGTATCAGAAACCACGGCGAACAAGATTCGTTCTCCCCTGCATCTAGCCGGGTGCATAATTTTCGCGCTCTCCAACATGACAGCCCAGGCTGCAGGGAGTCGGAACGATGGAATTGATTTTAATCAACTTTGATTTAAATTGCACGATGAACATGACATTTTTTATTTCATCCTTTGTTCGATGAGTTTGAGTGTTATCCCTTCATGTCCGAGAATCAATTCTTCCACAGTCTTGATGTTTTCCTATTATTAGTAATATGTGTCCTACCACTTCCATGATTTTGGCAATCGATAAAGTTTCACACACTTCTTTCAACAATCATCAAAAGTCTTATGTGGCCTATTTTTACTCAAACATTTCTTCAAGAACCGACGAGTGCTGTATCTAGTCATCATTCTCAAGCCTTGGATCAGATGTTTTTCCTCTTAAGTGAATCCCATGATGTTCTTCGGAGGTTTGAATACTGTGATTCATGGCCTTACGAAAAACAAAAAGAAAAAAAAGGAGTTAGGGTCAATGGCCATAGAAACTTATAATAATGGTACGAACAATGAAACCTGATCGTAAATTAGCTGTGAAAACACAGGGTGAGAGGTATCAAATACCAGTTTCTTTGTTGCCTGCCGTCTATGCTCAGCCGTGTTGGCGCAGTAGGAAGTTTAGTTGTTCATAAATATTTTTATGCTTAATTTTTTTAAGCTATTGCATTTGAATCACTAGTTCAGATTTGATAAATATCGCTAAAATCTTTCTTATTCACCTAATATTTCTCGTGCTGGAAAATTGGAGGCAACTGGGAAAATAGGGTATCGATAATGAATAAAATAAAGTGGCCTCATTTTTTAAGACACATTGTAGATTTTTAGAGCTACAAGGTGGACATGTTTCGAACTGCATGTTATTCGTTACAAGAAGAGGGTAGTAGTAGATTAGCGTAAAACCCCTCCCCAGATGTGAAACTTCTGGAGCGCCAAGTCTCATAAACTTCGACTCACTTGAGAAGTTGAAGGACCGTCATAAAACTCCATATAGACGAATGCCTCTCGGTAATCCTAGAGGGACAGAGAAAGCATTCGACAATTTAAGTTATTCCAGAATATGTGACAATGAGGAAAATCGCAAGGGACTTCAAATGTCTTCGGGTTTAAGGAGAGCAAAACATGATACAGCTGAATCTCACTGGCACTCTATAGTTCTCAATCAATCGTTTACGTCACTATTTATTTCACGACTGGAAATTCCCCCATAAGGAAAAATGCAAGCCTGAGAAGAGCGCGATGATTCGGTTTGTCATTAATATTGGTTGAATTTAACATGTGCTGTATTTAAGAAAATATACTTATCTAATAACCCTCATTCTGTCCTTTCTCCAATGCATGCAAATTTATTTTGGCTAGATAACAACTCATGTATGCAAAAAATCCTTGGGCAAGCATCAATGCCATCGTACACTGAAATTAACATCCAGAAAAAGAGGGGCACAGAGTTAACATGAGTGTGAGTCTCTAATTACAGTTTCAAGGGATTGGAATAAAATAGTTCAAAAGCATAACTTACCTGGACAATAAATGCTCCGGTTCTTTTTCCTCAATCACTATCAGTACAAATAGCACAAGTACCGGAAAAGCCTCGCGTCTTCATTGGCGAGCTGTGTTGTAGAACGTAGCATGCGGTCATGTGAAGTGTCATATAACCCGATACGTTGAAGCCAGGCCATCACTGAGACGGCGATAACGTCATGTCCTGAGCAGAATGGTATATGGACAGCTCGATATATCGAGTTTAGATAGCAATCCCACTTCCTTTCCTTTATATGGCTCGTTGTAGAGAATGTGCGTCGATATGTATAGAAAGCGGGCAGGCGCAAGAGACTCGGCTCTGATGAATGTGTCCTTTGAAACCATTCTGGCAACTGGTTCTCCTCGCTGAGAATGAAGTCGAGATGTCTTCATCTGGCATCTTTTGATAATTTTCTGGGTAAAACGTTGTCTTGCAGAATAAAGGCCCGAATAAAGGTTTAGTTTGGAATGGTTAACGTGCCACCCCCAGAGACAGGAGTGCCTCGTGCCCTCCCTTCACGAACACGCCCAGGCTCCTGCTCGAAATGTTAACTCCGTGCCTCGATTAGAATGGGGTTCATTTGCCATTGGTCAAGCACGACCGTCTCATTCAGGATGTCTACCTTTGCTCTGAAACAGGCCTGAATAGTGTTGATTCCTTGACGAAGAACCCATGGCTTCACGTTTCTCTTAGATTCTCTTCTTAGTTAGTCCGATCATTCCAATATTGATGGTAAAATGAGGTTGCAAGGGTCACATTCATTTCCCCCAGGGACGAGGGTCTCTCTAATAATGGAAGAGGTACGGTAAATGAGCGGGGTTTACACGAATTGAGGCCATCTTACACACGGAGTGATTCTTGAGGTCCATCCGATATCCGACTCAAGTTTGTTTTGTTCTTTTCCTGATTGAAGTTTAAGTTTGGCCGATTGACAGGGACAGATGACCTCTCGTCTCGTTAGCATATATAAAGGGCTAAAAGGCAAAGTCAAATCTGCGGAAAAGTCGCTTTTCCTGGTTCGGAGAGGAAAAGCGATCTATCTACATAGACCACTTCTCCTTTGTGAACTGGCTGCTCTAATTTGGAAAGGAAAAGTGGTCTATGCGCATGAAACCCTTCTCCTCCCTATGACTACAATGCATAAATGATGGAATATTCGCATTTAAAAGTGGTCTCGCCGCTGTGCTGCATGAATGCATAGAGATGGGCTTGGGATACAATTTTGTTACGGGTTGAACAGCTTGGAATGATCAAAAAGTTAATATGGAAACCGTAAAACTTCTGCTTCAATTTCTACCGCTTCCCTCTCAAAACCCTTTACCCAAGAGCCTCAATGTTTTATCTCAAACTAGGGATTCTGCATCCAGAATGCATTCTGGCTGGGAGGCAAGGGAGACTTCCATAAAAAGGTAATGTTTTAAGTTCTATATATCAGCATGCATTTTATAACCACTGGGAAATTTACTTGCCGTCGTGCCTGTCCTGTTCGTAAGAACCTGTTTTATGACTATCAATACAAAGCTCTGCTCATTCAGCCTTTGCTAGTAAATCTATCCCCATTAATAGTCTTCAGCAATTCTGGACTTAAGCTAAGGAGAGAGCCAGAAGTCGTAGTTACCCAAATCAGGAGATATGGGTAAGTAGTGAAGAAGAGAGAACATGCCCTTTCGATTAGGTTGGAAGTCCACGGCTTTTCTTTGAGAGGGTCAGTATCGTCATGGTGAAGCATCATCTGTCATGTTCTCGTTTTTGGTCCCGTTATCTCAAGTTCTCTGAAGACCTTCGCCAAAATTGTTTGATTACGGAATGCAGTTGTGATGATTCTAGACTTTTGGTTGATTTTAACCGCGAATGTTGAGGATTGAAACAGATTTCAAAACTTGAGGTCGAAGCTCATTCTTTGAAAGCCAGATTATGCTGGACTTTTATAGGGCATTTTTTGGACATATTTTTCACGGTGAAGAAGAATATCCAAAATGTTTCTCCTTTGACATCGGGGTGTCTCTTTAGGCCATCAGCTCTTGAACACTTTTCCTTTTTTTATAGTCGGGAGATGAGAGAATCTGGCACACCTGAAATTCTTAAACCTCTGAATGACAATACTGCAGGGTCTTCGCAACTGATGCCAAGCTCATTATATAAAATTCCCCAAGTAGTACTAGAATCATAGTAAATGATGGCATAACAGCCATCAATATTAGCTTTGTTCATAGAAGTCTGAGGATGTAAGGATGGAGCCTCATCATCACAGTTTCTTTCCTAGCTATGTAATTTCTTAAACAGCTCGCACGGATGGAGCTTAACTGGATGGAAAAAAATTATAAGTCAGAAGTTGAAATGCTCTTGGAGAACCGATGTTGAGAGGAAAAGGCCTGGCATCAGATGCTACCCGACAACTTTTTTTTCGGCTGTATACCTCTTTGATCACCCCAAAAAATGAAACCTTGTTTTAACGAACCATTAAGGTCGAATTTGACTTTCGCAAAGTTTCCAAAATATAACCGTAGGTGTAAGAGTAATGATCAACCATATATCAAAGTGAACATGCGCGACGAGTGTGAACTAAGAGAACTTACATCACTTCAAAAAACGTCGCATGTTTTTGCTTGTATACATTATAGTGCCAAAAGCATGAGATGACATTTTAACTTTGGTGTACGAGGGATATTTACCTGCATTCAAATTTTGTGCCACGAAAATTTCTAGAGTAAGTGAAGCGTATGTCCACGATGCGG